TCTAAAGAAATATGTATTATATATATATATATATATTTTCTGGCTTAAGTGGTATTACTTGATAATGATGCAGGGTTCGTAAGGTACGAAGTGTTACACATCTGTCAAAATCTTGTGATGACATTTTCAGCCAGTTGGTGCAGGGTGGAGTTTCTCCAGATGACCTCTACAGCACTGTTTGCAACCAGGTCTCTTTTTCATCACTGATTTTATTACTGATTTTCTTTAATTCTTTATAAATTTTCTAAACTAAAAGTTATTAATTAGGAAAATGAAGGGAGTATTTGCAAATCCCTCAGCTTTTTAATAATAATCATGGTGTTCAGTGATGTTATGTAGAACTTCTCTTACATGCTCAAATAAAATTAGAAATGAAGAACTTTTTTACATTCTACTTTTCTATCCAGCGACATGGAGAGTAACATACTTGCATGTCAAACAGCTATGCAGTTTTCAAATTTGTGTTCTTAACTGCTAATTCATTTTTGCTGCAGGAGGTTGAGATTGTTCTTACTGCACATCCCACCCAAATTAACCGTCGTACCTTACAATATAAACACATAAGAATAGCTGTACGTTTTTTATGGCTATTCTGAAATAGTGATATTGTTATTTAAATGTTGAGTTAGAACTATGTAATGAAAATGAGCCACACCTTCCTTGCAGCATTTGTTAGACTATAATGACCGACCTGATCTTGGTCATGAAGATCGAGAAATGCTAATAGAAGATCTGGTATCCACACTGCATCTTTTCCTTAATTTCTTGCCCCTCTCCTTGTGTCTTTATTTTCATCTTATTCTTGTGTGTGTCTGTGTGTGGTGTGTTTGAAGGGAATGTCAAGTCTCTGTGTGGTTATACAAAGAAAAATTATCTCATGTTTCTTAATTGAAGTTCATTTTGGCTTTTCAGGTGAGAGAGATAACATCTATATGGCAGACAGATGAACTAAGACGCCATAAGCCTACACCGGTAGATGAAGCTAGGGCTGGTACATTGCATCACTTCTACATATACTAAATGCATTTTATCTTTTAGAAAATTACTATTTCGCGCCTACAAGTAATGGAAATTTTTTTGTTATCAGGCTTGAACATTGTAGAGCAGTCCCTTTGGAAAGCTGTACCTCATTACTTACGACGAGTTAGCAATGCTCTAAAGAAAGTATGATGTTAATTTGTGGTTGTAAGCTATGGAAGACGCATGCTTTTCTTTCTCAGTCTAATAAGAAATTTTTTTTTATTTTCTTTCCAGCATACAGGAAAGCCACTTCCACTCACATGCACTCCCATAAAATTTGGATCTTGGATGGGGGGTGATAGAGATGGAAATCCAAATGTCACAGCAAAGGTAGGGATTATAGCATCCTCTTGTATCAGCATTTAGTAACAATCCTCCTAAATAGTTTAGCTAATTTCTGACATTCAAAATCTTTGACCTTGTAATTCTTTTTTTTTTAATTCTCAAATCATGTTTAATCTGGAATTTTATTATTTATTTTATTTTCTTCAGATCAAATTAAACTCACAGAGACATATTTAGGATTGTAGCATGCATGTGAACGAAGTTTTAATGGTGTTATCACACTGCTTCCTTCAAAACTGTTTTATGCTATTTAGTAGTTGCATTTTTGTTTTCGTAGGTGCTCCTTGGAGCCCTGGCTTTGTGGTTTTTCTAGATTGGCACCAATACTTTGATTTCACAATTTTGCACTCCATTTTATCACATGGGTCCTCTTTTCTCTTTGTCACAGGTGACGAAAGATGTCTCTCTTTTATCTAGGTGGATGGCCATTGATCTTTATATCCGGGAGATTGATGGCCTCAGATTTGAACTGTCCATGAATCAATGCAGTGATAGGTTGTCTAGATTGGCACACGAAATTCTTGAAACAGGTTTGAACCATATTGCTTGTTCAAATTATTTTTGACTAAATTGATTACTGTGTTATTATTTTGTTTTAACGTCATCTCATGCTGATTTAGAATTGGCTGATTTTATAGACTTTGGTGACCAGGAAATGCCGGGAGTATGGATCATTTTGTGCCTAATGGCCAAAAGTTTCAGTTTGGCATCCTCACTTCAATACTAACTTCAAAGTTCAATATATAAAACCCATGCCCATATTAATATGATGATAATTAATTTTTGATTCTCAGTAGGTGATGAAAGTGATTTGTTAGCACATTGAGAAATGGAGATTGTTAGGATCTTATCTTTAGGAAACTGTTAAGCCACTACAGATTTTTAACTGTGTTTTGTATCTAGTTGTTTATGCTGAAGACGGTGATGAATTTCATGAGTGGTTGGACCATTATGAGTTGTGAAAACTTCATAATTTGGAGGATAATTCCACCTTGCTTTATAGAGGGAGAGAAAATATAGAGCTATAGATGGCTTGGAATCTTTGGTAAATTGGAATGCATTTTTAACCTTAGGCTTTTCAAAGTCTCCCTGTCTTGTTTCTCTGTATAACACTGCTTTGCTGTAATAACAGTCTACATTTATATAAACTTTCATGAGTTAGGTGCAATTTTAAGATATAAAATCTTTCTGCATCGAAGGATGTATAAACTTTCTTGATTTTTCTGAATCTTCAATTTCTCTGCTGCTTGTAAGATTTAACCGTAAGTCAAATTCTGTACAGAAACCTCATCACATGATCGGCACGACGGTAGGAATCAACCTTTCAGTCGAAATCAACTGAAGTTTCATGGCCATCAGGCTTCATCCCTTCCTACCCAACTTCCACCTAGAGCAGATCTACCTGCCTGCACTGGTAAAAAAAAAAAAAGGAAGATTTTGGTCTTTATTGTAAAAAGATACATTATTTAATCATTCGTCTATTCCTTTCAAAAGTCTCTTTTCTTTTCTACTTATTATCATATTTGAAAGTTTGAGGGTGAATTTGCCAAAATGCCTTAGCTATTATAACTTTTCATTTTTACATGCGAAATACATACTTATGTGTGACCAATCATGGGAATATCAACTAGCACTTTGTTGCTGATAGTTCTATCTGACTTTTTTTTGTTGTCATAGATTGCAATGATGGTGAATCTCAGTATCCCAAACTAGAACTTCCTAGGACTGATTACATGCCCTTGAGTCGCAAGGTGAAAGCGGTTCTGGAGCTTGATGTTCCACCTTTAATTTCTTTTGGATACTCAGATGCTTCTTTTCTATTGCATTGTGGCAAACAGTTTCTCAGTCTGTCTTTAATTTTCAATCTAACTTCAATTTTTTTAGGACGGCAAGGGATCTTTGAATTCGGAAACTTCATTCCAAAATTCCAGTGAAAATGTAAGCAAATCATTTTCCAATGGAACTCCTGTTAATGGCCCACAGCTAGCCACAGGGCATAGGGGGTCTTTCTCATCTAATCAACTGCTTGCTCAGAGGAAACTATTTGCAGAATCTCAGATAGGAAGGTCAAGCTTCCATAAGCTTCTTGAGCCAAGCTTGTCTGAGCGTCCTGGAATTGCTCCTTATCGAATTGTCCTTGGCAATGTGAAAGAAAAGGTATTGTTTCTGTCATTCATGTTTCTATAGTTGACATATATGTAATTTGATAGCTGGGTTAAAAAGCCATCGGACGCTGGTTTGGCTGAAGAAACACCTATATTTCTGGCTAACACTATGGCCCTTTTTAGATAATTGTCTTTGTAGGTTTAGTCTGATTTAATGTTAGTCCTGTCCTGTTGACTTCAATCCCCAAAAGGAAGGTTTATTTTCACATGAATGACAATGGACATTTTGGAAGGTGGGAAATTACATCATATGTTGGCACGTTTGTCTTTTCACCATATCTGTGAGTTTTTAGTAAATAATGCTGGGGCAACTTGAATTTGGATAAATTAAGACTTGGAAATTGAATTGCTGCCGGTTCATTCTCTGTGTCAGATGAAGTGAAAGGCCAAAGTCAAAACCGTTTGGTTTGTAAACAACTGTTTGTCCTCCCTTGCCCTTTTTCTTAAATAACGTGATAATTTACAGGCCTTAAGGCACACATTAATTCAATTTCTCTAATCAAGAGCCTATATAATAGTTTAGTGAGAATTGGGCTAATGATAACTATATCTAAAAGAGCTTGCTTCATTTGTAAAAATGTTCTGGGAGAGATGATATCTGATAGTATTACCCTAAGGATGCCTTTAGCTTTTAAAGAATTCAAAGCAACTATATTGGAGAATTAAAATGAAAATAGACCAAGGCAGTTAAAAATTTCAACATATAAGCGTAATTGGTATCAATATTTTAAGATAGAAAATGGCTGGCCCAGGGTAGCTGCCTGAGGAACACTAATCTGGAAAAACCAAAATTTTGTTACGGGGAAAAAACTGAAATTAACATTAACTATCATGCTTTGAGTGAGTACACTTTTAAGCTTCTGAACTTCAAATTGATACTGGAGACACATGACAAAGTGGTGAGAGGATGGATTTATATTTCTTATAAATATAGGATGATATTGACTGATTAGAAAAAAGGGCATTTGATTGAAATGAAGCCAATGTCATTTTCGGTCTTTTGGATTTATTGTCTTCTTATTGAAATACCATCTTTTGGTCAACTACTTGCTATCATTAATATATTTTCTTTGCACAGTAACATAGAAAATTTGTGTTTGGTGACTTGTGATGTCAGCTTATGAAGACACGAAGACGACTGGAGCTTTTTCTTGAGGATCTTCCTTGTGAATGTGATCCTTGGGATTGCTATGAAACAATGGATCAACTTCTAGAACCACTGCTTATATGCTATGAGTCATTGGTAATGCTTCCACTTATGCTGATGACCTGCAAACAGAAAAAGAAATCCTATGGTGCCATAATCTAATACTGAACTATAGTAATCTTTTCTTTTTGAAGCAATCATGTGGTGCCAGTGTTTTAGCTGATGGTAGGCTTGCTGACCTGATCCGCAGAGTTGCTACCTTTGGGATGGTGTTAATGAAGCTTGACTTGCGACAGGTCCTTTTGTTTTGGCTTATATTCGGCAACAAACCACTGCTATGTGTTTTAACTTTGAATTTTTATACGTACCAGGAATCTGGTAGGCATGCTGAGACACTAGATGCAATTACCCGATATTTGGATATGGGAACTTATAGTGAATGGGATGAAGAGAAGAAACTTGAATTTTTAACAAGAGAGCTGAGAGGGAAGCGACCACTAGTTCCTCCTTCTATAGAGGTAATGTGTTTGAAAAGTTTTAAAGTTGCAAGTAACTGAACATCAACATCTTTTTGTATCTATAAATTGAATTCTTCATTAATAAGAATAAAACAGCTATTGGTTTTGGTCTGTTTATCTTTTCATTGTTTTTAACAGGGACTCATACATTTGAGTTCAAATTTCCAAAACTTGAGTGGGTCAATATCCACCACAAATTACTCTTTTTCTGAGAAATAGCACAAGTGCACAACACAATCATCTTATGTGGTTATAGTTAATTACACAAAATTAGTTTCTTTTTTATTCTGGGAAAATCAAAGGTGAAAGGGTAGATAATAAGCAGTGTGAAGATTCACTATTGTAAATTGGACAGGACAATGTCGAACCATTTATTTCATGTTCAGTGTTGTGGTTATAATTGAAATTGCTATCTAAGTCTGCATTTGATTTCCTGGACAAAAGGTTTAAATTTGTGATGTCTTAGAGAAGGGGCTTGCAAGTGTCCACTTGCATGACTGATGCTTTTGGTTGCTGGTATGATTATACTTGCATTTATTAAAGAATTACAAACATAGAATGTGTATCTAATTGGTAACACATCATGTAGTTGAATTGGGAAGGTGGTATCCTCATTCCAACAGCATTGCAACCAAATGGCATAACAATGGCTTCCCATATTTTTATTCACCTTTTTCTTTTCTTGGCTCAACTTACTATTTTTCAGGTTGCTCCTGATGTTAAAGAAGTCTTAGATACCTTCCGAGTTGCTGCTGAGCTGGGAAGCGATTCTCTTGGAGCTTATGTGATTTCTATGGCATCCAATGTATGACTACTTGAACTACTTTGCCTTTTCCAAATATTTTCAACCTGTGCAATTGAAAGTAGAACTTCCTTTTCTTTCCTTATTTGGTGTGTGTGCATGCCATGACGTTTCTTTGTTGGTTGGGGCTGTAGAGGGGGAAGGGGGAAGAGGATTTTGCATGTTGTTTATGAACTAAAAGAAGAGAATTGATGTAATGTTAACTTTTGTTGCTTATTGCAGGCAAGTGACGTCCTTGCTGTGGAGCTCCTGCAGAAAGATGCCCGACTTGCTGTTAGTGGGGAGTTGGGTAGACCATGTCCCGGTAGAATGTAAGTTTTGTACCTCTTAGACGCTGGTATTGCTCTCTAAGTTTTATATTCTTAGATTCTTATATGTATAATAGTACAAGATAATCAAAGAAATCCGCTTTGTTTAGTGTTTATTATTTATCATCATGCCTTTTCTGGATTTGAAATTTTATTATTGCGTTTACTGGGTTCCAACTTTTGTTTTTAGCAGAAGTTAGTCTTCTCTCATCTTATGATCTATTAAATCACACTACATAACATGTATATATATTTACTGGATGAAATGTATAAAGCATCAAAAATGGAGATTACAATTGACACTTGTGTCATAACATTGATATAATTCAGTCCAATGTTAAAAAGGTTGCATGTCCCTGACAAACTCATATTACATTTTATATTGCACCTTTGAACTCTTATGTCATCACTAGATTTAATTATCTTTCGAGTAGGCTGCGGGTGGTTCCTCTGTTTGAAACTGTCAAGGACCTTAGAGGTGCTGGTTCAGTGATCAGGAAATTGTTATCAATTGATTGGTACCGGGAGCATGTTATAAAGAACCATAATGGGCATCAAGAGGTTTGAAGCAATTTTCCAATCAACTTCTATGCAGTTTTAAACTTTTAATACCTCTTGTATACTTACGATGTTATCATAAACAGGTGATGGTTGGATATTCTGATTCTGGTAAAGATGCTGGACGCTTCACTGCTGCCTGGGAACTTTACAAGGCCCAGGAGGATGTTGTGGCTGCTTGCAATGAGTTTGGAATTAAAGTTACCCTCTTCCATGGCCGAGGAGGGAGCATTGGTCGTGGTGGTGGTCCAACATATCTTGCCATTCAGTCCCAACCACCTGGTTCTGTCATGGTAAGTGTTAATTTTATTTTTTATTTTTTGGTAAATTATTGTTAGTTTGATTTATTTCTGGGCAAATCTAGTATTGAACTCCAGTTGAGTTGACCACATTTTATATTGGGGTTATGGTTCTCTCCAGGGTCTAATATATATATATTTTTTATTTATTTTGGTTGCACGTTAGGAGGTAATTATCTAATCCCTTGTCCCATCTCTTGTTTCATCTCATCTACATGCTATACGATTTGAATTCAGGATCTCTTATTTCAGATAACTACTAAGTTATTTAAGTCGTTGGTAATAATTAAAATCTAATAAACTAAAATTTTTGTGATCAGGTGGTGTTTCATGATAAACTTGTGCCTGCTTAACTCGGTTTAGATGTTCATATCCTCGAGTTTCTGGCCATTGGTCGTTAAGTTGGACCCTTTTTTTTTTTTTTTTTTTTTTTTTTTTTTTTTTTTGATAGACTCTATATATGATGGGAAACTTCATTCCTATTTATGTAATATCAATATATCAGTTTATGATATATGGTTAAATGTTTGCTCTTTGCAAATTATTTTCCTGCAACTATAGAAAAGTTTTGCCATTTCATTTCCAGTTTATATAATAGCGATATACCAGTGCAAATTATTTTCTTGCAAATTTACAAAAAGCTTTGCCATTTCATTTTCAGTTTATGCAATAGCAATATATCAGTTTATGATATAGCTACAGAAGAAACAAGAATGGTCCAGAAAGCTTTGCCATTTCATTTAAATTGCAAAATACATTGGTCACTTTGACAACAACATTAGTACATCAATACTTCCAGCAATCTACCTAATGCCAAATGTTTACACCAACAAAAAGAACCAATAAACAATAAGACATATACAAAAAGCTAAACAATTCCAAAAGTTCAAACACCTAAAATTTACTTCGAAAGACCTCCTCTCAAAAGCAGCAACCTTTTTTTCCAGTTTAGAATATGAATCCTTCAACACATGAAGTTCTCTATGCAAATCCAAATTCTCCTTTTTCACCTCAAGAACCTTAGTCATCAATGTTTTTCTCTTTCTCTAACATTTTTTGCTGCTTCTCCCAACAGTGTTAACCATGCCTTTGCCTGAGGGTCAAACTCACCATCAAACCAAACAAAAAAATCACACCATGGTGTTTCCTCATCTGGATGTTGCTCATATCATTGAACTATTTTAGCATCATCTTTATGCAAAAATCATAAAGCAACCAGAAAAAAATCATACACTCACTAGAATGATACCATATTAAGAAATAATGTATGGAATACTTACTGGATATTTGGAGCAACCCCAAAACCTTCGCCCATAGTTAAAACGGGTTAATGAAGTTTTCCTTATCGGTGGAAGATCACAGTAGCAAAATCCAATTTGCTGACAATTAAAGTGTGATTGTGGCATAGAAGGAGAACTGAAACCCAGACTGGCTGTAGACATTGTCAGCACCCAAACTTCTTGAATATGGTTTGCTGATACAGAATCCGTTGCTATTGGACTTGGAAAGTAAGCCCAAAACAGAAGGAAGAAGTCGTAGCTGCTACCGCTCCATGAGCTTCTTCTTAGTCTGCTCGAAAGGAAAGCCAGTAACTCAAGAGTAAAAAAAAAAAAACAAAATAGAGTATGACAAAACTAGTAGCCTTGAGCTTGAATGTGTTTCAACGATTTAGGCAAAATGGGTTTCGAAAGAAAGGAAGAAACCCAGATTTTTGATTTTTGGAATTTTGATTTAGGGATTCAAATGGGTTTTGAAGGGAAGAAAGAAATTGGGGAAAAGATTGGGGATTTCTAATCTGGGTTTCGAAGAAAGGAAGAAACCCAGATTTCTGATTTTTAGAATTTTGATTTAGGGATTCAAATGGGTTTTGAAGGGAAGGGAAGAAAGAAATTGGGGAAAATATTTAGGGATTTCTAATCTAGGTTTCGGTTTAGTGATTTGGGGATTTCATAGACACTGTGCGAGATGATGTGGCGAGGGTGGGACCCACAAGGCAAGGTGGCAAAAAAATAAAAATAAAAAAGGGCCTAACCGGGTGTGACCGTTTGCACTTAACGGTCAATAAATAGAGCCGTTAGCTTAATTGGACGGAGTGACAACATTTGCATGCTTTTACATTGTAGAGGGACGACATGAAGTCAATCCATAGTAAAAGGTTTATAATGCACTATTTTTTATAGTAGAGGGACGATAGATGGCCTTAACCCCCTAAAACTCATATTTGAATCCTCGTCACCCAAAATTGTTATCTGTTAAAAAAAAAAATAAAAAAAAAAACATAATGGGCATTCAGAGTTGTCCGTACGTTAGGAAAACTACAGTTATTAATTTCTTCAAAAAGAAAAAAATGAAAATGAAACACCCGGTCTAATTAAGTCGTGACACATATCGAATTGGTCGACAAAAACCAACCAATATATAATTATGGACCGAACATTATACATCTCATCAGAAAGAATGGATATAAAGCATTATATATCCTGTGGAATATGGAATCTAACCTCTTTCTCTATTTTGTTTTCTTGATTATTCTCCGATAAAAATATTGAAAATATCTTTGTTTATCAACTATCGGAAGCCTGGTTCCCAATTTTAATATTGGAGTACAAAGTGTACAACAAAATATCTTTTCAGGAATATTTGAATAGTTAAAATTTTGAGTTTTTATGTTTCAAATTTTAAATTTAAATTCTGAAATAAATGAGGAGAGATTTAAAAAAATATTATTTTTATTGTATAATCTATAATTTGATGTATTAAAAAACAAATATACAACAAAATGAAAAGTTATTACTTTACCAAAACTCAAGTTTCACATTACATTAATATAACTAAGATGGCTTAAGATAGTTTTCTAATTAGATTACTTTTCACTTTATGTGTAAACTATTATTAAAATATAAATTTTAGTTATGTGTATCTATCGGCAAGCTAGTTTCTTTTTGTTTTTTGATCTGTCATGTATATACAAGTTGATTCAGAATATGTATCATGTGATGGTAGAAGATTGTGACTAGAAGAAATGCATAATTGTATAGCTTTGGTGCTTGGAACATTGACTTGTCCACTTTATATATATAGTGCTCCCCAACCGGTTAATTAACGATCTGACATGGTGACATGCCCCAACCAAAAACTGCCATAAACATTAGTGCCCCCATATGTTTGGTTGTCAATTTGGAAGGAACTTTTGGTGGCTAATTGAAATGAATGAGTTGACAAATTAATTAAACAAAACATTATCGATCCCAACAAAATTAACTAATGAATACTTCGTAGATTTTTAAAATTTACGTCTTTTTTGCTGCAAGATCACAGTTGATCATAAGAAGCTAGCTAGCACTATTCCATATATATATATACGCGCTTAAAATTAATTGAAAATAAATGGAATTTGTAGGTCATATTTTTTTAATATTTATTATCAAATTATTTTTAATCAGTTTTTGTTTATTTTAAAATTAATTTTTTTATATAGATACAATATATTTAAAAAAATTAATTTTTTTAGATGTTAACATTAATTTAAACTTAAAATTTGAATTTAACTTATGAAAAGATATTTATTTATTAATGAATCTAATTCTTGAAGTTTGAGGATCCATATATTATATACACAACGGTTGTGGTTTTGGAACTAGGAAAGATGTATATAGAATCCAATGATAGATATGCTTCACTTTATCGCAACATCATCGATCGACAAGTAATGTGTTCGTGGGCTGATCAAAAAGTAATGTTTTCGTGGCATTATAAGAGCGCTATATGTACCATAAGATGTTCTGTATATTTGGTGCCTCTTTATTTTATCCCTAAAATACTTTTTTTTTTTCACAATTGTTTGTATTTAAAAGAAAAATTGAAAACCATGCGTAAATCAAATATTTATTCACCCAAATTAATGTCATATATATCATATTGTATCAAAAAATTATGGAAAATGATTTGTGCACACCCGGGTGTGCACACTCCCCTATTGAAAAAAAAAAAACAACCCAACCCCCCGTGGTCCCTTTTTTTTTTTCTATGTGGGGGTTGACCTGGGTGTGCACCAATCAGGATCCAAAAATTATATATATAAAAACTATTGTATTCATACATATGATTACAAGATAGTTTTAGGTTGTGTTTGGGAACTTAAATTTGAATTTGATGAGTGTAATTAAAATATATGTATTTAAAATATATTGTATTTTAAAATATACTGTTTGGATTGAAATTAAAAAAATAAATTTTAAATACATGTATTTTTAAATATATTGTTTTGATATTTTAAAATATTATGTATTTAAAATTGAATTTCTCTATTAAATTAAATCTTCTTCTAATTGTTATTTAAATTTAATAAAGTCAAAATTAATAATTTTAATCTTTCAAAATATTATTTAAATTACTTCAAAACAAACAAATTGGATAAGAAAAAAAGGACAATGACTTCCACTAACATATCATTCATGTATTTAAAACAATGAAAGCTAGCGACCGAGAAGATCAACTAAAGGATGGATTTCTAGGTGCTGAGGAGAATAATGCAACATTTAAACCACAGCAAAAGATATTCAAATTGAAGAGGTAAGTAAGGAGGAATTAACTTTATTGATCTTGCTCTTTTCTTGCTAGTCTCTTCCCGTAAGTTGAATCCCCTTTTTCTTTTTTGTAAACAGAAGTTAGTGGAAATCCAAAAGGTCGATGGAAGCAAATAATGTTGAGAAAATCCTAACTGAAGACAAAAGTCTCAAGGACACAAACAACACTTCTACAATTGCCATGATAGAAACCAAAACTATCAGGGAAGAGGTTAGATTGCACCCAATCCTCCTTCCTTCTTCGGTGATCTACAACAGTTAATAAAGAAGATAACTTATAAAAAAAATCAAGCTAAGCAGCTCATGTTTCTGTCTTATATCAGGAATCAGGTGTAGCACTATCACAAGAGCAGAGCAACACAGAGACAACTCTTTACCCCTAGATCTTATTTTGATTTGCCCTCCTTTCATCCTAATACAGACATGAAAATACCCACTTGTCAAATCTTCATTCAAAACACACAATTCATCCAGCCATGCACATAAAATTGCAGAAATTTTCCAGAAAAGCTCACTACATTTAACTCACTTCATTAAAACTCCATTACATCACATCATCCAGATATAGCATATATAAATGCAGAAAATTTATAGAAAATAACAACAATTCAAAACCCCATTCTTCGAATCACCAAAACCAAAACTTGTTCAAAGATTCCGAAATTAATATGATCAAATTAACACTGGACATCTTCATGAACATCAAATGAAATCAATGACAAGGAAAGAAACAAAAAAAAAAAAAGTCACCATTGAAGTCACTCTGATAATAGATATAAAAAAAAGGAAAGGAATCCATGATTACGACATCGCGGATTCTGACCCAAATACGAAATCGAAACTGCGAGAGCTGATCTAGGAGGTAGTCATATGCAAATCAATAAAAATTTGAATCCAAAAATACTAGGTTTAAGAACAAAACTACTGGG